ATACTTTCTATTTATACTATTCTTATAGGGTTTTATTAGAAATAAGAGTATAGCTAGTAGGTATGTCTCCTGATATCCAGCTATACCCCCTGTCTTTGGCGTCGCCACTTCTCTTTCGCAGGGTCTTTCAACCAGCTATACTATAGCTTGTCGTATTCAGTAGATGCCCTACTCACCTGTTCTACCAAGATAACAGACGCCATCGTATAGGATGTCTACGGCCTAGAGCCAACAGGCCTCATAACGATAAGACTAGGAAGACAATAGTCTAGCATTCTATTAGTTTCCCCATAACACTCTATCTTCTTCCCACAACCTCCTCTAACACGGGCAATATAGCAACACCCTGTAGAACTTGCCCCAGCATGCCTTTCTGCTCTTGCTAGCCTGGCTGCTGCCCTCCGGCATCCAAGAACATACCCATGTCGCCAACCCTAAACAAAGACCGGCCCCAGACCCTTAACAGATGTCGTGCTTGCCCTGTCCCATGTCGACGCAGCCAGCTCGGCAAAAGTCCACCCAGGTGATGGCTCCATTATCGCCGCACGCAAATCGCGATTGCTCGATAGTAACCTTGGTCCTGGGCTGTTTGGCCTTCACAAGCGCCTTCTTGATGTCCGATTGGTAGTCCCCTGCCGTCGTCATGAGCCTCCGTCGCCCGGATGGGTGGCGCTTGGGGGGTTTGGTAACCTACCGATTTTCAACAGGTTATAGCCACAGTAGCGGAGGCCTTTGGTGCAATCTCTCGCCTCGGCCACTCCCGAAAGAGCGACGGCAATGGCGGAAAGAACGATGGAGATCTTGACCATGGTTGTAACCTGAAGGCTGGGGAGCGTAGGGAACGAAGAGTGGAATGAAGTTTCGCTGTGGATGGAACCGGCTTGGGGGAGTGGATGAAGTCCTTGGGTTGTAGAACCTCCGGGCTTCCTAGGCGACGCACAATCCTTTTATAGCCCGGTTCGGGGACTTTCGTGGCACGTCTTACGACCCCCGGCGGAAGTATGATAAAGGCGGTGTTCCCTAGCCGTGCTATCTCGAGCCCGCCTGCTGTCGATGTACCGTGTATGGCCTCGATGCGCATTTCAAAGGCTGCTTAGGTGGGGCGTGGGCATGCATACGGATCCGGTTGGGGTTTCGGCTGTGCTTACTATCTGCACACGGCGGTTGGGTAAGGGCTATGTGGAAAGCCTCTTCCGTACGAAGCGGAAGAGTTACTACTCTTAGGACCTATAGAACCTGGCGTGAGGCGGAACAGCCTAGATACTGCAGACGAACCGCAAGCCTTCCTCTAAAAGTGGTAAGGAAGCCGCTATATAGCCTGCTATCGTGGGTCTGCAGTGGCCCGTATGTATGCGGGGGTGAGTGTGCCGGTGGGGATAGGCTTACGTGAGAAGCCGTATGCCGGTAACGCCGTGCGGGGGCTGTAGCTGAAAACAACGTTACACCTGCCTCCTGCTGTCGTAGTGGTGTCTGGTACGAAAGGCTTAAACGTACGTATTCACCTGGTTGTCACATTGGGAAGGGTGAACTGACTGCGTGTGGCCGAAGGTGGGCCTTATGCTCCTGCTCGGACAGTTTCATGGCCGAGATTGTAAGGTACGAGCAGAAGTGGCCTTTCTGGATGATCTCGGGGGAGTGGTAGGACGTGAGGTCTAGGCCTTCGAGGCCCTTGTTGGCCCACGATAGGCGGTTGAAGGGTAGATCCGAGAAGTTGCAAACGAGCTCGTGCACGCAGGCATAGCGGGCCTAACCACGGATCCTTCTGGGAGCGTTGCAAGTGCCGAAGAGGTCATCAACCCATTTGGAGAGGCGGTTCCTTTCCATATAGTCGTAGTAGGAACCGCGCACCTTAAGCATGTGCTAGGTGCCCTCGTTAGTCTGCCTAGGGTTAAAAGCACCTATAGATATCCATTAGGTATAGGTGTTTTACGTATATATAGATTATAGGTTTTTTGGTTACATCCATATAGGCATTTTACCTTACAAAATTGAAATAATTTTTAATCATAGCCTAAACCTTAGGGTATATAGACTAAACAAAAAGAGTATGACTATAAGAATATATAGTACTTAGTTATTAGTAATAAATATAATAAAATGAAAAATCTAGGATTTTTTAAGGGACTATTAGTTTCATGTTATGATGGAACTTTTTGGGTATGGTTATTCTTTAGAATCCAAAAAAAAAGAAAAAAAAAAGATTATCCATTTTACCCGTAACCCATAATACCCAAACCATTTCTATGAATAACCGTGGGTACCCGTGGTCTGTGTATTTCTAACCCTGCTTCTGCCTGAGTCGGATGAGACAGCTAGTACCCTGGAGGTGCTGGTTGATAGGCTAGGAGATGCACAAAAAGATGCCGATGTGACACTTGTTGTGGAGGTCCGGTCCCGCAAGGGAGGTGTTAGTGTTAGATATGAAAACGTCCACCTTTGTGCCTTTCTTGGTGAACTTATCTACGGCCTACTGTCTCTCCGTCTCGTTATAGCAAGACCAATCTGAAATGACTTTGTAACCGACCCTGCGCCTTGGCGGCCTTATATCGGCTATTGGATCTGACCTACGGCCGTCCTTAGACTCCTTTACCGACTGCTATTAGATGCCGGCCCCGGACTCTTTTACCGACTGCAGCAGGAGGGGAGGCCCTGGACCTTATGCTGTCCCTGGCCACTGTAGGCCTTTCGCCTGGAATCTCGTCCGACGTTTTGGTGCTCTGGAGGACCTGCTTGCTTGAATTCCACTACAAGTGGCAAGGGAGCCCTGCGCCTTGTCGAGTCCCTGGCCACGGCCGGCCTGCCTCGCTCACGAGCAACCCAGCTTGCGGAATTCCACCCCACTAAGCGGCACCGCCGGGCCGGACGGCCCAAGGTGATATGGTTGCCTCTGCTTCCCGTAGCGCCCTGCCTTGGCCTCTCCTTCCGTCTCTGCGGAGGGAGCCTTTCTTCCGGGCTTCTTCCGTCTCGGCTTTAGACCTATCCTCCGTCTCTGTCCGGCCCCTTTCTCCCTTCTCTCCCGTCTTTCGTCCGACCTTCTGCCCCCTCCTGCCGCACGTCTCCGGCCTTGTATGAGAATTCTTTCTCTTCGGCTTGGCTATGCTTGCAGCAAAGGTGACCTTTCCGGAAGGGAATGCAGCGTCCTTTATCGTCAAGACAAGTCTGCCTATAGATGAACTTTGCCTGAGGCGGACATGGCCCGTATAGCTTGTCTCCACGCGTATCCATAGTCACCAGTATATCCCCTTTGCAACCTCACGTGATGACCCCATGGTTTAGCGGTGATGTGCTGGCTCTTGGTGGCCCTTGCTGTGGCCCTTCTCCCCCCCACTGTCTCTCTGGCCCTATTAAGCGCTGTTGCTGTAGAGAGGATGGGCCGGCCTAGTTTCTCCCCTGGGCATGCTCCGGTTGGCCGGCCCTCCCACCGTAGTCGCTGTCGCTGGCCTCTGCTGATCGGCGGCTGTGGTGCCCTGCCTGGGGTCCCTTTGTCTGCACCACCTTGGACCCGGGCTCCTTCCGTCTCGGTCTTCTGTCCCAGCTTTTATCCCGTCTTTAGTCCTGGCCTGGTACCCTTCTGCCTTCTCTCCCGTCTTTCACCCCATCTTTAACCCCCTCACTCGGCCCTTTTGTATCCCCTTGCTAACCCCAACAATGTCTTCTTACTTCCTTGTGGTTGTCCCTCTCTCCCGCCCCGTTAAACCGCGAATACTTCGTTGGGGGTGGTGGGTGATGGTTGCGGCTGCTGGGTGTCTCCTTTTATACGGCTGCGCTGGGCCCAGCCTGCTGCCTCCGGTTCTGTGTGCTGTCCGGCGCTCCTTCCTGCTGTTCCTACCGGCGTATTCCTGTGTGAATACGGCGTTGATGATGTGCCGCTCCCTTGCTGATGGGCCCTTGCTGACGGGCCAGCCCCCCGCCGGCGGATCCGGCGCTCGATATCGTTAACACGCTCTCGCTGGCAATTTCCTCTTCCGCTGGCTCATCATGGCCGCTGATCTCAGTGCGGAGTGAGTTGTTTCTGGTCTGGGGTGGGGGTGGGCTGGGTGCTCTGGCCTCGGGAGGGTGCTTTATATAGGGCCTCCAGGCCGGGGGTGTTGGAGGAGGGCTTCCTCCCCGGGGTCTTGTCGCTATATACGACCTCTGTGTCGGTGGCGATTGTTTGCTCTTGCCTAGTGTGGGGGATGCGATTGGGACTTAAGGCTGGTGCCTACGGCTGTGGCCTCTTGTGGTCCTCTCACGTGATGGGATTAGATATGGTATGAGAGAAGGGACGAGGGGCTAGGAGTTCGGATGGGACACAGGATGGGGCTGTCGAGGGCAAGCCTAGCTAGCATAGTGCTGTTGGAGGGACGTTCAAGCATGAGCGTATCCAGGTTTCAGAGCCCACGGTCGGTTTTGAAGACCCATAGTTACCAATGGGGAGTTCTTTGTAAGGTGTGCCTCCAGTAGTAACTAGGGCAATTGCTGCCCCTAACGCCCGGCGACCGGTGCGATCCTCGTAACCGGAGGAGCCTTTAGCGGTCGCTGACTTCCCGTTGGGTCTGTCCCTAAGGCCTCCGTGCTCGTCTGGCTCAGTGCCCAGAGATAGGACTGGAAACGGGATCGTTGGCCTAGGGATGGGATGAGGGGTTGAGAGTTCGCATCGGACATCGGATAGTGCGTGGCGTGTGGCTCCTGGTCGGTTGGCAGCCGGTTGGTTGGTTGGTGGCCCGTTGGTTGGTCGGTGGCCGGCTGGTTCACGGCCAGTTGGTTGGCGGCTGGTCGTTGTCTATCGATCGCCGCGCGGTAGCTATCAGGGCTGTATTACACTAAGGTTAGGCGATGTGGGACCGGGCGTCTCTGGCCGGCGACAGGCGAACGGGTACGCGTTATAAACAGGACCAGTGTAAACTATATGTACGACACTCTCCATACGTCCTGTAACGATAGAAAAGGCCGTTTAGCTTAATGGCCGAGCGCCCCTCTAACCATAATCCTAAACGGCAAATAGTGAAGGTGAAGATCCGGGTTCGAATCCCGGAGCGGCCCCACCTTTTTATATATGGGTCCGGGACCTTTCTTCGGCCCGGTTCCGAAAATCCAATCCGTTTTGCCGTGGCACGCACCGTTACTGAATTACGGCCCTCTGAAGGTCCTGGGTAGTCTTATACTACTCGGAATATAGGAATCTTTCTAACCCTAACCCAATGGTACCTATTTATATAACCTAGGTCTATAACTACATCGTTAGACTACCTTTATTACAACCCAACCAGTTAGGGTGCTGGCCGGCGTGACTATATAGTGCAGAACAAAGGATAATAATACAGGCGTATCGTTACTCAAGCTTTTGCTTTGTGCCACAGTTGGTTGCCCTGTCCGACCGTAACAACCTTAAGGTTGTAATAAACAATACTACTACCCTAATCAACCCAGATAGTATTATAACTGCTAGATATAATGCTAACAAACTCTGTAGGCCTTTTAATTACTAAGTATGATGCTCCTGTATTAATAGTGTTGAGTTGGGATACCTTGTAGCGTCTGGCCCCCCCTCCTCTCCTCCCCTCACCCACGCCTCTGCTTCCCTAGCCCTAACCCAACCCAAGCGGTGCGGTTCGCCAGGTCTACTTTGGTATATTGTCCTATGCTGCTGTCTACGGCTGTGTCATTCTCCTGTTGCCTACTGTCTCCTAATAATTCCATCACACCGCTCCGCCTACATTCTATCTTAGCTACAGAACACCAGGGCGATAAAGTCCTTAGGCCTCTATAAGGCTAACTTAAGGTGCTTTAGGTCATCAAACAACCTCTCCCACAACTAAAGCTAAATGTCAGTGTTACATAGGCTGTCCTAATTACTCTTTACAGTAACCTAGCTAAGCTCACATAACATCTAGTTACTATATCCCTTATATTCTATCCTATTATCAGCCCTATCAAGACGCCAAGGAATACAGGACTTACTAATCTTCTTTGTTATCTCAGCCACGTCATATGCCATCCCACCAAAGCCCTTCGCCCAGGGGAAAGACTTAGGATAAAAAAACCATATCATTCTAGTCACCATAACAAGGGCAAGCTACCTAGGATCCTTCCGCTTAAGGGATACACTAAACTAACATACGTTTGTCTTAACCTCTAGCATCTCTAACAAGAAGCATATCGTTAAGGTAAGCATTAGCATAAGGTGGCATATTAGGTTATTAATATTCTTTACTAGGCAGTTTATAGCTACCTAGTAATAATCTAGCACCTTAACGTCACCCTAGCAAAAGAAGGTCAGTCAGGCCTATTTAAAACCCAACCAGATCAGCACAGGCATATCCCTAAACAGGAAAGCACAGCTAAAGTCAATCCGTCTGCCTGCCTCACAAAGGGCCTACTACTAAAGCGCCCTCTTATGCTTAATGTCTGCCTCCTACACTACATGCCAGAGCAACCCTAGTGCGCCTAACAGTATCAGCCCTCTGCCGGCCTTGCCCTGGAGCCGGACAACGGCCCTTAATATCATCCGGCCCTTGATAGCGTCCAGGGCCTACTTGACCCCTGCCGCCAGCAGGCAGCTGGTAAGCACGCCTACCCACTCGGCCAGGTCGATCCTGTCCTGCGCCTTGCGCCTGTTAGCAATAGCAAGGTATAGCTTTAACGGCCACGTCGCGTTCTAGGAATAAAACAGATCTCTCCTCTTGCTGCTGCCAATGACGTCCAGGAGCTTCCTGGCAAAGTCGTATCGTGTGCGCGCCTTTGACGTCGTCACCGCCACGCAGGAGCCGCTAGGCGCAAGGCCCTAGGTGAGCCGTTTGAGCGCCGTCCACCTGAAAGCGTCAGCCGACTCCTCCCACGCCTTAATAATAGCGTCACAGGCCCTAATATCGTCAGACGTTAGGGGTTAGCTGTCCGTCTCGCCTCCCTTATGTAGCCTACGCTTAAGCTGCTAGGCAACAAAGGACTTGGTCTGCAGGACCTACAGCTCCCGCAAGAGCTTCTTAGCAAACTTAGCCATAGCAGCCTAGCTGCTAAAGGCAGCCTTGCCTAGTTAGACAAACCACAGGTCGCTCTCCCTGCTTACAGCAATCCGCACGCCGTAGTGGTGTTCAAGCTTACTAACATATAACAGCATCGGCCTCCCTGTCTTCTCTAAGCAGGGCCACCAGCCTATATAGATCACGGCCCCACCTATCCCTACCGCCCCAAGGTTAAGCACCGCTAGGTCGATATACAGCTAAGCCCCGCCCTAAAGACTGTCAATCGTGCCAAGTAGTTGCAGCACCGTCTTAGGCAGGTGCCGCTTATGTCTTGTGAAGGAGTAGCCCCTAAGCCGGTCTAGCACGGCAACGGCCTCCAAGTAGGCCAGGTCAAGCCCCCTCTTGCCGCCTTAGACAAAGCGGCGCTCTATCTCGCCAAGCGCCAGCTCAAACACACACAAATACACACACATAATCTTGGGGAACAGCCTGGGCGGTATAGAGCAGAAGATATAGACGTACGACTTATGTTTAATAAGGAGGAAACACATGATCTGGAAGATAGGCTAGAGGACGGCCTTAAAGGTCTGCTCTACGCCTGTTATGCGCCTGACGTTAACTAACATAACCTGCTTAAGTCAGTACGCAAACTTGCTGTGGCCTAGGGTAAGCTCTATCTGCCGTCGCTCCCAGGCAAACGGCTTAGACTTATCTGGGTTCTCTGGCGTTGCCTGCCTGCAGACAATACGCAACAGCCGCTCCCGCTTATCCCTCAACGCCATGGCGCCGCTGGCGTTAGACGTAGGCATGGCTAGCGCCACCGTTACGTACCCCTTTGTTATAAGGAGGTCGTAGGGGCTGTGGCAGACGTTCCATTTAATGTTAGAGTACCCCTAGAAATACCTAAACAACAGGACGTCAGCGCCTTCATTCCGGTCGCTTATGTTACCCTACATAGTGGCAAAGAGCAAGTCAAAGAAGGCAGGCGGTCAGTAGGACGACACATTGCCATATGTAAGGTAAAAGGCCTGCAGGTAGAACGTGTAGTCGGGGCGCCTAAGAAACTCCTGGACCAGCACGTTCCAGTCAATAAGGAGGCATCACGGCTCCGGCTGGTCTTCTTCCACCTCAATGACGCTATTAATACAGGCGGCAATAGCGTACGACACGGCGGCAATGTTCTCCAGCCAGAAACAAGAGCGCAGCTCCCCAATCAGGCTCTACAGCCCGTTACGTTCCCTAATCATCTCTTTATAGCTGGTATCCCTATCGCCCAGGCGCCTGTCTTCTTTGTCGTCAGCAGCCCTGCCAGGCCTAGGTCCCCCGTCAACAAAAAGTCACCCCACCCTGCGCCTGGTCTGCTCCTCGCCCTCCTCTTCACAAGGGGTGTGCTTCTCCTACCAAAGGTCGTATAGCCATTAGCTGCTTTCGATTTCAATATTAGCACTATAGTTATACGCATAAAAGGCCGGTACGTACTTCCTCTAAAAGGACTCCGCCCTATACAACCCCACCTAGTTAGCCTAGCCGTCTATAAAGATCTCCTAGAAGGTAGTCTACCGGCTATACGTTATCTGCTGGCTGTATCGGCCCCCCAGCCGCCAGCAGGACTCCACCCCCTTACCAAGCAGCTCTAGCAACTAAAAGATACTAGTAATATAAGACGCCAGGGGCCACGCCAGGTTAGCCGGCATCCCGCTTCTCTCCCTAGCTAGTTCCTTCCTACACCAGCTGTTAGCAGCCAACAAAGGGAGCTCCATTATCTCCCCTAACACTAGGTGCATCACGATAAACCAGACCTCACGCGTGGCCGCCTAGGCAACCCTAAACGTACGCCTAGTAATATCAAAGGGGATCCCACTAATATGCTTTACTCTGTATAGCGCCACCTATCTCTGGAAAGATATAGTGATGTTGTTAAATATAGAACCGTTAGGCCTTATGATAACGCAACCTAGCTTACCTATAACACTAAAGAAGTTAAGAAAGAACTTTAGGTAGAATACGTTAAAGGCCTTGGCCTATATGCCACTAGCGTAGTCAGAACCAAAATCGATAGTATGCCTCTCCTATAGTATTATAAGGGCAGCGGCCGCTTTAAAGTCCTTACCTAGCGCCTTCTTAATAAACCGGCAGGCTATAGGCAACCTTTCTATTAGTATAGGCAACAGGATCCATATCATAATAGCCCTTACCTTAGAGTATATAGTGCCTAGAGGAATAGTCTACCTCCTACCTCCTTACCGGCTAGCCGTCACGCCTACCTAACCCAGCCTCTTTGTCTTCAAACAGCTCTTTATCAGGCAAGGCTTCCGGTTACTAGTCAGAAAGCTTATCGCTAGACA